GGGACGCACAGAGACATACTCCCCCTCGTGCACCTTTTTGTCGCGTGGAGGAGGACTGCGCAGTGAAACAAAATCTCTCGTACGCTGAATGCCGCGTGACGGAGGGTTGCAAAACGACGATATCCCCCTCGTACACGGATTGCCGCGTGGAGGTGGGAAGTAGGGAGGGGGAGAAGGAGGAAGGGGAGGAGGAGGAAGGAGGGGGAGAAGGAGCAGGAGAAGGAGGCGGATGTTTGACGTTTCTTGGCCCTCGGGGGAAGGCCCTTGGCTCCACGGCTGGATCCGCCTCGGAGTCCACGTCAGAACGCGCTCGAGGAGTGGCCCACCCCTCGCGTCCAGCTTCCTCCGCCCCTCCCATCCTGACCCCCTCTTCCTCCTCCGCCTCCTCCTCCTCCTCCTCCTCCTCCTCCTCCTCCTCCTATGCTAGCCAGACTGCAACAGGTCGAACGGCTGACCGAGAACATTCTGCAAGGGAGGACTCCAGTGGCAACACCTGCTTGAGGCACCGCCGGGGACGGACCCTGTGTAGAGTGTGGAAAGTCGGACCAGCTCTCTGGTCGACCCTCTTGGGCGCCCCCCTGGGGCTCTCTTGGGCCTTTGTAGGGGGCCCATTGGGGAGCTGTTTCGGGGCCTCTTCTTTTGGTCTTTTTGTCAGATCTCTTGGGGGCCTTTTGGGGCTTCTTGGGCGCTTCTTGGAGCCTCTTGGGGTCTCCTGGGGGCCTCTTGGCCCAAAACGCTCGAATATCTGCCGGCTTGGATGCCTCTTAGGCCGTCTTGGACGCAGTGGAAGCCCAAAAGGCGAACACGCCAAACATATCAGTTTCCCTATGGGAAAGCGACGGTGTTTGCTTATTTGGGGCTCTCTCGGGGTGCCTCTTGGGGCGTCTTCGGGACCTCTCTTTTGGTGTTCTTGTCGGGTCTCATGGGCGCCTCTTGGGGCTTCTTGGGCGCTTCTTGGAGCCTCTTGGGGTCTCCTCGGGGCCTCTTGGGCCAAATGGCTTGCATTTTCAGTTCCTCGTCCCCGTCTTGGGCGCCGACTTGGGGCGTTCTCGGGCGGTTTAGGCGTCTCGTGAGCCGTCTTGGCCCCCTCGTGGGCCGTCTTGGGGCCCTCTTGGGGGCATCCTCGACCGGCTTGGATGCCTCTTAGGCCGTCTTGGACGCAGTGGAAACCCAAAATGCGAACACGCCAAAAATATCAGTTGCCCTATGGGAAATCGACGGTGTTTGCTTATTTGGGGCTCTCTCGGGGTGCCTCTTGGGGCGTCTTCCGGGCCTCTTTTGGTGTTTTTTTCGGGTCTCATGGGGGCCTCTTGGGCTTCTGGGGGGCTTCTTGGAGCCTCTTGGGGTCTCCTGGCAACAGGTGCGAATTTCCGGTTCCTCGTCCCCGTCTTGGGCGCCGCCTTGGGGCATTCTTGGGCGATTTGGGCGCCTCGTGGGCCGTCTTGGCCCTCTCGTGGGCCGTCTTGAAACCCTCTTGGGGGCATCCTCGACCAGCTTGGGTGCCTCTTGGGCCGAATTGGACGCAGTGGACGCCCAAAAAGCGAACACGCCAAAAACATCAGTTCCCCTCTAGGAAATCGACGATTTTTGCTTATTGGGGCTCTCTCGGGGTGCCTCTTGGGGCGTCTTCGGGGCATTCGGGGGCCTTCTTGGCGTCATGGGAGTCGTCTTGAAAGGCATCCGGAGCCATCGGAGCGCGTTTTCGAGCGTTCCGAAGCCATCTTCGGGCGATCTTGGACGGCCCCCGGCGCTCCAGCAGGGCTTCCGGCGCGCCGGGCCCCACATTTGTGGTCGGGGTTCTGGCCCCCGGCCCCTGGACCTGGTCCCCCGTTATATGTATACATTGCTCTAAAACGTTCCAAGAGGCCTCCAAGAGCAGTCCCAAGAGGGCCCCAAGAGTAAAAAAAATGATTTTCCGTTGGTTTGTAATGGATTTTTGAATTCTCCCCTCTTCGGCTTCCTGACACTCCAGGACGGCCCACGAGGTCCCAAGATCGCCCTAAGATTGCCCGACAAACCTCCGACAAGGCCCCAAACCGGCCAAAGAGGGCCCGGAACAGTCCCGACAGGGCCCCAGGAGGCTCCAGGAGGCTCCAAGAAGAGGCCCCGAAGAGGCCCCAAGAGGCCTCCAAGAGGCCTCAAGGAAGCCCAAAATTATCCCCAAGGGTCCCAAAAAGATCCCGCAAGGACACCGCAGAAGTTCGAGATCCCTCCAAAACGTCCCAAGAGGCTTCCAAGAGCACTCCCAAGAAGGCCCACGAGGCAAAATTCATTGATTTTCGATTGGTTTGTGGGGGATGTTTGAGTTCTCCCCTCTTCGGCTTCCCGACGCTCCAAAACGCCCACGAGGCCCCCCAAATCAGCCTGAAATGGCCCGACAGACCTCCAAGAGGGCCCCAAACTGGCCCAAGAAGGCCCCAAACAGGCCCAAGAGGGCCCCCAGACAGTCCCGACAGGGCCCAAGAAGGCCCAAGGTTCCCAAGAGGCCCCGAACAGGCCCCAAGAGACCCCCAAGACAACCCAAGTTGCCCCCAAGAGTTCCAAAAAATCCCGCGAGGACCCCCCAGAAGTTCGAGATAACTCCAAAACGTCCCAAGAGGCTCCCAAGAGCACTCCCACGAAGGCCCAAGAGGCAAAATTCATTGTTCTTCCGTTGACCATTGGTTTGTGGGGAATGTTTGAGTTCTCCCCTCTTCGGCTTCCCGGCGCTCCAAGGCGGCCCACGAGACCTCCAACATCGCCCTAAGACGGCCCGACAAACCTCCAACAAGGCCCCAAACCGGCCAAAGAGGGCCCCGAAACAGTCCCGACAGGGCCCCAGGAGGCCCCAGGAGGCTCCAAGAAGAGGCCCCGAAGAGGCCCCAAGAGGCCTCCAAGAGGCCCCAAGGAAGCCCCAAATTGTCCCCAAGAGTCCCAAAAAGATCCCGCAAGGACACCGCAGAAGTTCGAGATCCCTCCAAAACGTCCCAAGAGGCTTCCAAGAGCACTCCCAAGAAGGCCCCACGAGGCAAACGTTATGAATGTTCTGTTGGTGTGTGAAATATGTTTCAGTTCTCCCCTTTTCGGCTTCCCGACGCTCCAAGACGGCCCACGAAGCCCCCAAGATCGCCCTAAGACGGACCGACAGACCTCCAAGAGGGCCCAAACTGGCCCAAGAAGGCCCCAAACAGGCCCAAGAGGTCGCCTATACAGTCCCGACAGGACCCCAGGAGGCCCAAGGAGGCTCCCAAGAGGCCCCGAAGAGGCCCCAAGAGGCCCCCGAGAGGCCCCCCCAGAAGCCCCAAGAGGCCCTCAAGAGGCTCAAAAGATCCCGCAAGGACCCCCCAAAAGTTGGAAAACGCCCGAGAAGCTCGCCACAGCCCAACATAGCCAATACGCGCGCCTCCAGGTGGCCTTTTGGGGCGAAAGGCTCGAATTGTCGGTTCGGGTTCCCCCCTTTGGGCCGCTCGTAGGGCCATTTGGAGCTCAAGTTTTCTTGAACCCAAAGAACGCGCGACGTGTGGCTGCGTGGGTGGGTAGGTTCGCTGGCACATAAGATAACACAGTCGTGCCTGGCCGCCCGATGTTTTTTTGTTTCTGAAAGCTTCCTTGATGCAATTCTTGGTGCTGGTGTAGCGAAATGGCCTTGCACCTGCGATCGCCACAAGGCGCGTTGACACCGCAATGCTCGCTCTCACCACGCATGCTGATGCAGCAACCTACGCATGCACCAAGTCGCATGTGAACATCACAACGACTGGCATGGCAGTGCTCCTGTGCACCCACTATAGCGCCTGTGTGCACAACTGCGAACGCGCACGCCATAGCGTCTTTGCACAGCACAGCTGCGGCCCCACAAACACGTTCCGCGTGCATCACACTGCAACAGCGCGCAACGCGGCGACTGGCGACTGCGTGCGCCACACTGTAAGTGTACACTGCAAGAGCCGCGTACGCTTCGAGGGCCCCGACGAGGCCCACAAACCGAAACTCGTGTGGGGTGGGTGGGTGGGTGGGGGGGGGCGGCGGCGCGAACGTATCCCATTGAATGTGCAAGCTGGTTGTGGTAGTTGTTTTGTGGCCGCCTGGATACCACTCAAGGCGAGTATGTCGAGCTGCGTGCGGCCGCGGCGGCGAAGATCCCCCCAGAGCCCCCTCGAGCTCCACTTCTGCCGCGGCCTGGTCCGAGGAGGCCCTGGCCCCAAACGGCCCCCGATGGGGTTCCGACGCCGCTCAAAACGGTCCCAAAACGGCAACCAACACGCTTGAGAATGCCCTAGGGGCTTCCGCGAACCTTCCGCCCGAGGACGCACCCAGGAAGCCCCAATGGGCGCCCAAGGGGCCCCTTAAAACGTACAGGCCCAAGGTGAACCCAAACGCGCGGCCGAGAGAGCTTGAAGGGCTCAAATCCCTCCCTTCCCAATCATTGGCTCCCGCGTATGCCCAGCGTCCTCGTCCTCGTCCTCCTCGTCCCCTTCGTCCTCGTCCTCGTCTTCGTCCTCGTCCTCGTCCTCGTCCTCCTCATCCTCGTCCTCGTCCTCCTCCTTGTCCTCCTCCACGTCCTCCTCCTCTTCCTCTTCCTCCTCCTCCTCCTCCTCCTCTTCCTCCCCCTCCTCCTCCTTGTCCTCCTCCTTCTGCTCCTCCTCCTCGTCCTCCTCCTCCTCCTCCTCCTCCCCTCCTCCTCCTCCTCCTCCTCCTCCTCCTCCTCTCCTCCTCCTCCTCCTCCTCCTCCTCCTCCTCCTCCTCCTCTCCTCCTCCTCCTCCTCCTCCTCCTCCTCCTCCTCCTCTCCTCCTCCTCCTCTCTCCTCCTCCTCCTCCTCCTCCTCCTCCTCCTCCTCCTCCTCCTCTCCTCCTCCTCCTCCTCCTCCTGCCTCCTCCTCTCCTCCTCCTCCTCCTCCTCCTCCTCCTCCCTCCTCCTCCTCGTCCTGCTCCTTTTCTTCCTCCTCCGCCTCCTTTTCCTCCTCATCCTCCTCCGCCTCATCCTCCTCCTCCCCCTTCTCCTCCCCATCCCCCCTCCTCCTAGCGTCCAAGGTCGGCGGCACTGGCCGTAAGTCATTCCCAATACAGTATTCACTGCCGTGTCACAAGGTGGTGGTCACTGCGCCGTGGTCGGCACGGTGGCAGTACACGAATTGATCCAAGAACTTGCGGCGCCCCAATCACTCCAAGAACCTGCGGCGCACCACAATCACCGGAAACTCGCTCGTCACGTAGCAGCCCACGGAACAAACCATACTCTGTGACGTACCCAACCCTTTTCTACACATGTGGTGATTCTACTCAGGACCACTCAATGCTGACTGGCATTCTGAAGGACCCGCAGTGCGCAAGAAGAGCACCCAACAATGATTTCAGAAGAGCGCAGCAAGAAGAGGAACGGCACATCTACTAAATGGAAACACAGGGGCGTTGAAAGAAACGCGCCCAAAAAGTGAACACAAAAGGGCGCGGCGGCGGGGGCTAAACCAGAACATCGGTTTAACTCAGCAACGCGCTGCGCGGAGCGGGGCAAATGCATGCGGTGCATAACGGGGGTGGAGACTCATCCAGAAGTGGAGCCAGAAGGGCGCGGCAAAGAACCCAAAGAGAAGCACGTAACAGTGGAATCAAAATGTCGCGGTCGCGAGAATAAGCAGGAGCACGCAGAAGTGGACGCATGAGCCCACCAAAGTGGCGACAACTGCGCAGATCGCAAGCCCCCCATGGGGCGGCGAGATCCCGAGGTGGTCCGCGTGGGACCCACCTCCGCTGGGCCTCCCAGGAGCCCACCAAAGTGGCGACAACTGCGCAGATCGCAAGCCCCCCAGGGGGCGGCAAGGTTCCGAGGTGGTCCGCGTGGGACCCACCTCCGCTGGGCCTCCCAGGAGCCCACGAAAGTGGCGACACTTGCGCAGATTGCAAGCCCCCCAGGGGGCGGCGAGGTCCCGAGGTGGTCCACGAGGGACCCACCTCCGCTGGGCCTCCCAGGAGCCCACGAAAGTGTCGACAACTGCGCAGATCGCAAGCCCCCCAGGGGGCGGCGAGGTCCCGAGGTGGTCCGCGTAGGATCCACCTCTGCTGGGCCTCCCAGGAGCCGACGAAATTGGCGACAACTGCGCAGATCGCAAGCCCCCCAGGGGGCGGCGAGGTCCCGAGGTGGTCCGCGTGGGACCCACCTCCTCTGGGCCTCCCAGTAGCCCACGAAAGTGGCGACAACTGCGCAGATCGCAAGCCCCCCAGGGGGCGGCGAGGTCCCGAGGTGGTCCCCCAGGGGGCGGCGAGGTCCCGAGGTGGTCCGCGTAGGACCCACCTCCGCTGGGCCTCCCAGGAGCCCACGAAAGTGGCGACAAGTGCGCAGATCGCAAGCCCCCCAGGGGGCGGCGAGGTTCCGAGGTGGTCCGCGTGGAACCCACCTCCGCTGGGCCTCCCAGGAGCCCGCGAAAGTGGCGACAATTGCGCAGATCGCAAGCCCCCCCTCAGGGGGCGGCGAAGTCCCGAGGTGGCCCGCGTGGGACCCACCTCTGCTGGGCCTCCCAGGAGCCCACGAAGGTTGCGACAACTGCGCAGATCGCAAGCCCCCCAGGGGGCGGCGAGGTCCCGAGGTGGTCCGCGTGGGACCCACCTCCGCTGGGCCTCCCAGGAGCCCACGAAAGTGGCGACAATTGTGCAGATCACAGACGACACGAGAGAAGAGGAGACGGGAACACAGGAAACAGGAGACAAAGAGGAGAGGAGGAGAGGAGGAGGAGAGGAGGAGGTGGAGACCACACTGCTCTATTCAAAACGAGTACCCAACACGGGAGACCGTTCTTCCTAGGAATCGGCGATAACCCGGGTTCTCCCCGGGGGAAAGGGGGGCGCCGGCCGATAACCTAACACTCGCGCTGTGGGCAGCCCTGCATATGCCTGCGCCCCCCCTCCCGCGGACCTGCACAAGCGGCAAGGTTAGGTTATCCTTGGTGGGGGAGGCAAGCCCGACAACCCGGGTTTTCGCCGGACCCTCAAAAAACAGTCCCCAGGAGGGTTGGGAAAAACTCTGCGCACCCCTGTGCCTGCGTGCGAATGCACCCCAATGCCTGTGTACGCCGCCAGCTTGTACATCGTACACCCCAAAGCACGCGTGCACCTCGAAGTGCCCGACGGTGCGGTGTCAAACTCTAGCAAAACCTGGCCGGCCCGGAAGTATCAAATTTAATATGCAAGTTGTTTGTGTGTGTGTTAGTGCTATTCTTGCCACGGGCACGGCACCTACACTCGTTGCCACAACCACGGCTGTGTGCACCACAACTGCCGCCGCAGCCGGCGTGTGCGCTATACACACCGAGCTGCTTCTCTCTTCCATGTAAGTGCGCAGCCGCGCCTGTGCGGGTGCCACAACAGCCTGCCCGCGCCACGCGCCTCTACATACCACAAGCACATGCCTGCGCACACTGCAAACACGTTGCGAGCGCACTACGAGCAGCATACCGTTGCGTTACACAACAGGCGTTGCTGCAACAGGGGTGGGTGGGGCGGCGGGCGTGATGTTTATCTACTGGGTAGGTGGGCAGGTTGGAGGCCACATAACGCGCGTTATGTGTTCGAATGAAAAAACGTCCGCTCTTTCCCTCCTCCTCCGCCTCCTCCGCCTCCTCCTCACTTCTGCTCCCTCTCATCCTCCTCCCGAGCGCGCGTGGCCACAGAAAGGGGCCCGGTGGTCAGACGCTGCCGCGTCTGCATCAACAGGTCAACAACGTGATTAACTTGAACTTGTTCCCCGTTCCGTTGGCAAGCCGGAAGCCGACGGTGTAGTTGCCCGGCTTGAGCCCCCGAAGGCGGTGAAAGCGGCTCTTCGCTGTGTTGCCGCACCGCGCGTCGTACAGGTCGCACGGGAACCAGAACTCGGTCTCGGTCTCGGAGGTCGCTCTCTCCCAGAGCCCGGGGAGCAGCGTCAAGTTTCGGACCCGCTCTGGCTGAGGCCCCCTGATCAATACCTCCGCGTCTCCAAGGTTCTCGTACGACCGCAGATACTGCACGATGAGCCCCCTTGCGGGGCCCAGCTGCACGGGGAACCACAGCCAATCGCTGGGGGAGCTCGCTATCCAGCCTGGCTTCTCTGGGCGATCCTCGTACAAGCGCCAGCCACCGCCCGACCTGGGGGACGTGGGACTAGGCTCGTACGCCGAATGCTTGGTGAAAGGTCGCAAGCACACGTTCGACATGTTCAGAGGCTTAACTTTGCGAGGCTTCTTCTCCCCCTTTTTCTGGAAGCCCGACATCCATATCTCATCAGGCCGGAAGTCCTCTGGATGTCGCAATGCGGGTCCGTCGGGAACTGCCGCGTCGATGTCACACGCCTCTAACTTGTCCAAGACTACATTGCACCACCTGGAGAGCAGATCCGCGACGTACGAATGAGTGCGCCAGCTCGGGTGCGTGCCCTCGTCCCAGATGTTGACATACGCACCCCCCCCTCGGACAAAAGCGTCCTCGGATGCATAGAAATTCAAATCCGCCACCGCGCTTGCAGCGGTTTGTCTGTGTACGTGCGGGGGACGCTGGTCTTTTCGTTACCTTCGCTTCCTGCACAGCAATAATCAAGGCGCTCTGACAGATCAAGCGCTTATTTGTCGACTTACTGCGTGCGTCGTCTGCCCTCCACACCCAAGCGAATGCCCAGAGCTTTCCGAAGCTTCCATGGGATCCTTCTGAAGACTTCACATACACACTCACACACCGGGGGGGGGGTCAAGTCCGGGCGTCGTCCAACGAACCAGGGGGCTCTACCTCCTCAAGGGGGGGATCATCTGCCTTCCGAACCAGCCAAGTCCGTGCGTCGTCTGCCCCCAGGAGGCCTTCCGAAGACTGTACCCCTCCCCTCCATGGGGCTGGCCCGCTCCCCGCGCCCTTGCCCCAACTGGCCCCAGGTGGTCTCCAAGACGACCAAGATGGCCTCCAACTCTGACAAACAATCCCAATAGCTATGGTCTCCACGGCGGGTGCGGTGGCCCAAAGACGGGCAAAGAGGCTCTCGAGACGCGCCTCCAAGAAGCCCCCTGGGGGCATTGAGATGCCCGACGCCTTTTGCTTCCGAGCCCCTCAGAAGGCCCAAGAGGCGTCAAAGATGCCCCCAAGATGGCCCAATAGAACCAAATAGAGCCCCAAGACTGCGCAAGATGGCCCCAATATGGCTCGAAACCCTCCAAGAAAGCCCCAAGAGGGCCCCAAGACGTTCCGAAAGACCTCCGGGGCGGCGCCTATAGCGCCCAGGGAAGGCAACAAGACGGCCTGGCGAGACCCCCGAGACGGCCTCTGAAGGCGTCAGGCGGCCGAATAGGAGGCTGTTCTTGGGGATCGGCGGTAACCTGGGGCATCCAGGTGGGAAGGGGGGGGGGCGGCCGATTGCCTAACCTTAGGTCGGGCATGTCCTCCTGCAGGCGGGCTCTGGGCGAAGAATTCAACATAGCCAAGAACGTTCAAACATGATACAAGAAGAATCGAATACTCGTCCCCAGACTTTATTTTGTAAGTTTATGTTCGAATATCCCCCCTGTAGAGGGACTGCCCCGACGTAACCCCAACCTTCGCGCTGTGGGCAGCCCTGCATAGGCCCGCGCGCGCTGGTTCTGTGGCCCCTCCAGCTGCGAACGCTGCCGCGGCGATGCTACTCCTCGTGCTGCGGCGATGCGGCGATGCTACTCCTCGTGCTGCGGCGATGCGGGCGCCGCCCGGCGACGCCGAAGGAGATGTCTGGACCTGCTCCGCCGACTATGTGAGGTTGACTATCTGGGGGAGGGGGCGGGGAGGCGAGCCCGATAAGCTGGGTTCTTTGACGGGGCCCTGGGACACACAAATAAATACACACAAATAAGAAGATGCCCCATGTTTTCCCATATTTTCTGGGTTTCCGTCTTCCCCACCACTGCCCATACTTTCCCATAGTTTCTGGGGAACCGACGATTCATTGTGTCTGTGTGTTTTTCTTCCCTCCTGGTTCTTGCCGGCAGCAGCCAGCCTCCCGCGCCCCAGGGCGGTCCGAGGTGCCCCCGGGAAGCCCCCGAGGGGCCCCCGAGGAGGGGCCCCGCGACAGGCCCTATAGAGGAGGTGCGCCGCCCACGCGGCCGCCCGGGCGCGGTGGCGGACTGGCGCGGCGAAGCGCAGCCGGATAGGGAACGCGGTATTGCTCGAGCACCGCCACCGGGTAGTTGCGATACTCTGCAAACTGGACCTGTTTCTTCTCAACCCTCGTGGTGCCCTGGAAGACCGCCTGGCCGCCCGTCCACAGGACTGCCAGCTGCGTGCGGGGCAGGAAGAAGTGGACGATGCGGGCGAGAAGCTCGTAGTTGCCGAGTCCGTTTCCATTCTGGGAAAAATCGAACAGCACCAGATCGGGTGCTGGTCCAGTACTTGCAGAGAGCTGCACTGCCAAGCTGGGCAAAGTACAGTCTCCTCCGCACCCAGCGACCGCTCTGTTATCCAGCGTCACGTTGGCGCCTGGGAAAGCTGAACGCAACAAACTCGCAAAACGAAAACTCCAGGCGCACTCTTTGTGCTTGCAGCCAGGAAGCTGTGGCGGTGCATATTTTCTTGCACCGCCAGGTCTGAAACATACATCCTTGCCGACGCAGCAGCAGCCGTGTCCCAACGTCATGCTGCCTCCCCAGACCTTCGAGTAGAGGATCGAATGCAAAACTGATTCACCCCCAAAAAATCATTCCCGTAAAACCTGCGGGACAACTGCAGTGGCAACTGCAGACAAGGCCCGCGCCTTCTAAGCAGCAGGGGTGCTCCTCAGAAGCCTCGCCCCACCCAAAACTCCCCTCTGCGCGTGGCAGCCCCGCTCCAAAGGCCTCTTGACTGCACCCTGGTCCCATCTGGGAGCCTGCACGAGGAGGAGGAGGAGGAGGAGGAGGAGGAGGAGGAGGAGGAGGAGGAGGAGGGGGAGGAGGAGGAGGAGGAGGAGGAGGAGGAGGAGGAGGAGGAGGAGGAGGAGGAGGAGGAGGAGGAGGTCCCGCCCCTCGGGTGCTAGGCCCGAGGGGGGGGGGGGAGCAGCACGGGGGGGGCGGAGAAGCGTGCGCCCTCTCCGAGCGCCTCTTCGGGCCCGAAGGCGGCAGCGTCGGGGGCCGCTCGGGGCCCCTCCCTGCCCCCCCCCCCCCCCTGCGCGTGGCCGTCGATCCCCTGCTCGGAACCTGAAGGTGTACGCTCCGCTTCGCCCGTGCGCGGAGGAGCAGGCGCGCCAGGCCGCGCAGGTCACCCTCCGCCTTCCGCAGGCCCTCGTCCCACAGCGCGTCGTCCAGGCGGTCCAGGTCCGGTATGGACCCGCCGTGGTATGGAAATCCGGCGATGTGCCTCTGCGGCGGCGCGCCTGTGTCACTTCCCCGGCCCGGCGCCGACCCGAGAGATCCGCGCGGGCCTCCGAGCTATTGCGCCCATGGCGTTGTTCGCCCCGCGGGAGGACGGACACGCCGGGGCCCAAACTCGGCGGCCAGCCTGTGAGAGAAGTGAGAGGGGGCGGGCCTTCTCAAAGGGGCTCGGAAGTCCTCTGGCCTTCTGAGAGGTTCTCGAAGCCGTCTCCGAAGACGCCGAACACTCAGAAGCCCAGAGGGCTTCTGAGAAGCTCCACCGCCTCCTGAGAAGGCGTCCTCGGGTGAGACCAAAAGGCGCCGATACCGCTACTCCCCGGACTCCTCCTGGTGTGCGTTCTGACCAGGATTTCGAGGCGCATCCAGCGGTGGCGACGAGGGCCTCCCAGGAGGCCCAGGAGAGGGACAAACGAGGGAAGGGTAGCAGAATGGGTACCTCTTCCTCCGCTGCTCCTCCTTCTCACTTCCCCCCCCCGCTCGCCGCGGAAGGAAGCAAGGGCACGGCAAGGCCGAAACAGAGTCACAGCGCCGGATGCCTGGGACGCGCGGCAGCCGGCCGCTCGGGGCCCCCGAGGCGAGCGGCAGCCCCAGCGCGGCACACACGGAGACGTTGGGGGGCAGCGGCAGGTCCTCCCGCCGGGGGGGCACCCCGACGCGCCCGGGCTACGGCCGGACCCGGGGCAGAAAGGCGCCCCTCAGGGGCATGAGACCCTCCGCCAGCCCAAGCTGAAGAACATCCGAGGGCGCCCTCGGGTCACGGAGAAACCACGGCGGAAAATGTTGTACAGTTTCCGGCCTCTGGGGGCCCTCGCCGGGCCCCAGGACCGTCAAAAGACGACTCGGGACGAAACACCAGTCTCGGGGAATGAGTCGAGACCTCTGGGACTGACGGTTGGCGTTGGAAAGACAGCGTGCAACATCGATCTGCGAAAAGCGGGGGGGCCCCTCTGTGCACGCCATCCCCCCAGCAGATGCGTCTTCGGTGCACGCTATCCCCAAGGTGGGGGACAGCGTGCACTAGGCAGGTCCTCCCGAGGCACCCCGACCTACCCAGCTACGGCAAATCTGTGTCGTGATGACCTCGGCAATCCCTGGGATCCTGCCGCTGCAACTTTTGCACAACGGGCGCTTTCGCCCAGCGTTCGGCCCAAGGGCCCTCACGGAGGTATCTCGCTCCAAGGACGGCGCAGAATCCCAGAGATCCGATGTCGTGATTTTTTCAGTACGCGGTCCCCGGCAGTCTCGAACCATTCCCCAGGACTGGTGTTTCACCCTGCGTCGTTTTTTGACGGTCCTGGGCCCCGGCGAGGGCCTCTAGATGTCGAAATCGGCGAAAAACCTCCGTCCTGATTTTTTCGAGACGTTGGATCTCTGGGATGTTCAGGTCCACGGCACCTGACTGACGGCAGGTTCGCGTCGAGTCGACCGGTGGCGACCCCACCGCTGGCATGCAACGTCGAAGGCCGCCACTGCGCGCGGCGGGGCCAATTATAACTACTTGCGCTAGTTTAAATTAGTAATGCTAATCATGGCCTAATTATCAGTAGGTGTAGTTAGGTTGGAAGTAATAAGAATTAGCCACATTCGCGTCGTAACGACCGTGGTTGCCATATGTCGACTTGCTTACCGCATCCTACGTGGGGTTGTTGTTTTCTCTGGAAACCCCGCGCAGAAAAAATGGAACCCGCCCGCATCAACGTCATCAGCATCATCGTCATCATCTCCATTATCGTCATCATCATAACATCACCATCATCATAATAATCCCCCGTCTTCGTCACTCACACACTCACACACTCACGCATGCACACTCATCAGTATCGTCATCATCATCAGCATCCGCATATTCATCGTCATTCATTCCCTCGCTCACTTACTCACCCACTCATCATCATCGTCATCATCATCATCATCATCATCAGCATCATCATACTCACTCCCGCAATCATTCACACCCACGCACAAACGCACTCACACACTCGCACAGTCACACAGTCACACACTCATGCATTCAACTTGAGAACGTCTAAGGCGGCAGCCTCGTTTGTGAATGAAACGCGAAGAATTATCAATCATTTCACGTTGGTAGTCGGAGCAGGTCATCCAAGTCGTGTGGCTGTCGTCACTTTTGGGTCCCTCGCGTTTAAATTTTGAAGAAGCCTCAGGCGGCAGCCTCGTTTGTGAATGAATTGCGAGGACGTCTCAGGCGGGATCCCGGTCCCCATGCAGCCGGCACATCCTGTTGGCAACTCGAGCGGGTTATTCAGTAACTGTCATCATTTTGGGGCCCCTCGCGCCTGAATTCTGAAGAAGCCTCAGGCGGCAGCCTCGTTTGTGAGTGAATTGCAAGGAAATCTCAGGCGGGAACCCCCGCACTTCCTGGTGGCCATCCAACTCTTGTACCTGTCATCATGTTGGGGCCCGTCGCGCCTGAAGTTTGAAAAAAAACCTCAGGCGGCCGTCACTTTTGGGCCCCTCACGCCTGAATCTTGAAGAGGCCTCTGGCGGGAGCCCCATCTGTAAGTGAATCCCGAGGGAGTCTCAATCGGACCCCCCCTCCCTATGTGGCCCGCGCTACAGATTTGCAATACGAGCGGGTCATGCGAAACCCGAACATGTCGCCAATTTTGGGTTCCCCAACCACGCTTTAACCTTGAGGCAGTCTCAGGCGGGAGCCTCGTCTGTGAGTCCGTTGCGAGGACGTCTCGAGCGAAAGCCCCCCCCGCTATGGGACCCACTCGCTCGGCTGAACCGTCCCCCGACGCGGCGATGGCGTCACCATCGACTGCGCCAGGGATGGGGGCGGTGGCTGCACCTTTACGTCATGTTATCCCGTGCCGCGCGCATGCGGAACATGCTGATCCGGCGGTCGCCCACTCGGGAGTTCCTGGAGCGCGGGCCGCTGGCGTTCGAGGCCCGCGGGGTTGTCCCAACGGCCTGGCCCGCAGGGTTGTCCCGACGGCCCGCCCCCGCGCCCCAGCGGCCCGCGGGGTTGTCCCAAAAGCATGGACCGCGGGAGTGCCCCAAAGCCTTCGCGATCTAGCCGTCGGCGAACGCGCGCGTGCTGGCCGAGGCGGCGACGTCGCCGAGGAAACTCAACTTGCTTGCCCCGACCAGGGGGAAGGGGAGGTGCGGTGCACACGGAGAAGAGGCAGGAGGAGGATGAGGAGGGGAGAAGAGGTAGGGGGAGGGTGATGATGAGGAGGTGGGGAAGGAGGAGGAGGCAAAGGAGGAGGAGGAACATATTTATGAGGAAGGGTCGGATTGCAGATTGTATGATGTTGACTTGCATATTTCATGCTGCGTGCAATTCGCTGTTGCCGAAATCGGTGACCACATAATTGCGCGCGCACAAACCCCAGAGACTGGAATCCACTTTCGCAAACCGTGCATGTCAGGATTCGTTGCTGGAAGTGTGAATCTGGGGATAAAGATAACTGTGGCCAGAGGTTCTAGCATGTCATTGCCCTCGTTGGTCAGATGTTGGGGCGCATGTTGCGTTATGATGTTTTGATGTTCCATGATCGGTTTCCCTGGTGCACTTGCAGAATTCGATGGCCACAACGTTGCGCGTGCGCAAGACCAGGGGACCGGAACCCAACATAGCAGATACCAAGATCCTAAGAGCCTGATTCAAACATGTTCTGCGCCTGTTCGCCAACTGCCGTCGAACACCAGTTCAAACAACCTTACCCATTCGAACAACATTCAAACGAACTAGTTGGGGCGATATTGAGCCATTTCGGGGTCCTGTTGGGTCCTCTTGGGGCCCTCTCGAGGCGGGGTGGCCGCGATCCTTGTAAAGAAAAAGAAGAATACGAAGAAGAAGAAGAAGTAGATAACTAGTAATACTAATACTACTAAACATAAGAGGGCGTAGCTGCGAGTGTAGGCGGAAGAGGAGGACGAGTATGTGGGAGGAGAAGGAAGGGGAGGAGGAAAGGAGGAGGAAGAGGAAGAGGATAGGGGAGGAAGAAAGACACCACGACGACGACGACGTCGACGACGACGACGTGCCAAACAGAAAGGACGTCGCGGATATTTCGCTCCGCGAGCCTCTTAGAAGCCTCTCGGATGCATAGTGGAGCCACTTTGGGGCAATTGTGGAAGCCTAAGTGGCCTTCGTGGGGCCCGTTAGGGCTGTCTTGGGGGATCGTGGGCCCCATGCTTTCAAAAGGGGAGGTGGCATTCAATTAAGGTCCCGCCTCAGAGGCCGAAACATCGTCGTTTGGGGCCCTCTTGAAACGCTCTTGGGCGCCTCTTGGGCGCTCTTGCGGCCGTATTGGGCTCCTCTTGAGGCTTTCTTGGGGCATGTTGGGGCTATCGTCAGGCCTCAGAGGCTCATTGGAAGCGACAAGGCGAGAAGGCAACACGGTATGGTTTTCCTGGAATGTGGGAGGATATTGGCCTCTTGGAGGAGGGTCCTTGTAGGGCTCCGTGTGCGCCTGGAGCCATCTCGGGGCCTCTCGGAGGCATGTTGGAGGCTAATTGAGCCATCTTGGACT